ATAAGGGTAATTTTTTCTTAAGTTTTGTCCATGAGTGTATATACACTTGGTTATTTCGTATATCTTCAATAAAGAACACTGTAATATCTTTCAGAGTTATTGTCCCAATCCGGATATACATAATAAAGGTACAATTTTCTTAAGTTTTCTCCATGAGTGTATATTTTATTGTTATAATGCTATAAACATATTTAGCAGTGATTTGTCTTCAATTACAATGTATAAATTTCATTATCTCAATATTGATTATGATTAGCTTTTTTATATCTTCATTTGCAGTGAATCCGTGGTGAATCCATGTATGATAAATTTCCTTTCCTCCAATTTAACCAGACTAATCTATTATCTTGATTGCCTTTAGGTAATTTTCCCTGTATATTTTTTTTTATTCCCAGAATAAAATAAGACACGCTATATCCGATCTGGATAATTGCGCGTGAAACTATTTACAATAATTGTAGTAGAGTAGGTAACACAGAATTATCAAAAAGAAAATAAACAATTAAGAAAAAGAGCATTAAATAAACATATACATTAAACAAATAAGCAACAAAATAAGCAGATAGAAGAAATCGCAATGTATATAAATATCATATTACCATTAAGGTACTATTACTTTTTTTTCCTGCATGTATCCTGCTTGGAGAATCTGTATAAGACAAAAAGGTCTTAATAAAGTTTTTTGTTGTTTGTTGTTGTTGTTTTATTTGGCAATGACTTCACTCTACTTCCTCAAAGCAACATTTCAAAAACCTCAAACTCTCCGGATGCAGTAAATCCCACGGGTAAACAAGCAACGGCCGTTTCTATGTATAATATATAAGCTTTCACCTCAGCCTAGTTTTACAGACCACTAAAATCCCCTAGAAAGCGGCCATAACTCTCCTCTATGAAAAGTAAAGGGAACAGCTTTGTTACGAGGGAAGTTCTGCTACCCTCTCTCTATAAATTTTTACTAGGTATTATTTAATCTTGGTATATTTACACATACAAAATTGTTTTCAAACCAACACTATCGAGAATGTTTTATTTATTTCAACGCGATATCCCGGCTAGGGATAATTGCGTCGATTTACATTTTTTTAAAACAGAAACAGGTATAAACATTTTATACAAGAAAAGATAATCAAAAATAAAAAAAGAGAAACAATAATATATATTAGGAACCTGAATCTTTCAGGTTAGAAAGATAATCATAAATATATATACAAAAATAGTTAAACCTATGATAATTCTCTCTGCTATTTACAAATTGATATAGATCTACAACATTGTCTGTTGTCTAGCGGTGAAGAAGAGTGGGCATTCCAGCAGTAGGTGTCTCGAGTCCTGGAATTCGTTGCCACAATGACAGCTAGAGTCTTCAACCGCTCCAATTGTTGATAAAAATCCCTTACGTTTCTTGGTTTGTTTAAATAAATGTTTTTTTTTATTATTTATTCAGTTAGCCCAGTAGGTTCCTGGAGCCACCACGTACAGAAGTCACCAACTACCTGGACTGTTACCTACTTGGTTATATTTACAATGTCACTGGAAGTCCAATTACTGAGGTGGCTCCAGGCAGATTTCATTCTTGGGAGATTTTCTAGGGATGCTGTACATGCTTTTTATTTCTTATTAATAATGTAAGGTAATTAATTAATAAAATAAAACACTTATCGATAATATACATATTTTATTTAAGAATCTTCAGAGCAAAACCTCAAAATGAATGCTCAAATTAATTTACAAAAGCAAAAAGACAACTTCTAGATGTTTCTGAATCATCAAGAGCAACAGAGATTGTTAAACATAAATAATTCAATGGCCTTACATTTATTCAAAATATTCTATGATATTTAATAATTATTTAAAACAGATTTTTTAGAATATCATCATTCCTTTTTATAGTTTCATTCCTTTTGTAATATTTATTGTACATATATCTTGATTGGTTATTGGAGCGAGAGAGGACCTGGAAAAAGACTGCGGATCACAACCTACGAGGAAGAAAACGAATAAATAAACACAATAACTCTGAAAGGTAATTTATTTTTATTTACTTTTATTTATTTACTTTTACTTTTATTTATTCGCTTTAAATATGGAAACCCGCTCGGGAAATGTGTATAACACCAAGAAGGAAGAAACCAAAAGGTCGACGACCATGCAAAGCTGCAACTTGGTGCAACAATATTAAATTAAGAAAAACAAAAAAGGCATCTCCCTATCGTGAAACTGAAAGTTGCTGATGGTTTGTGGCATCTATCACGCAAGCCATCAGCAACTTCCAGTTACACGATAAGGAGATGCCTTTTTTGTCTTTCTTAATTTATGCACCTTATCCCAGTACAATATCCCACTTGTACTATTTTTTCACATATATTAATTGTTACAATATAATGTGTTTTTAATATGATGCACTAGCGCGCCATCTGTTATCAAAATTCGAAACTATTTTAAACTCGTAAGATTCTTTTTGAAATTAAACAATTTCTACTGCCCTTACTGTAATGGAAAAATTAAAGGGAGGGTCTGGTTCATCAGTGGTGAACCCTCCCAGCGGTTTCACCAGTTTAATCAAATAACCAGGCCCTCCCATTAATTTTTCCATTGCAGTAAGGTCAGTAGAAATTGTTTTATTTTTAAAAGTATCATACGTGTTTTAAATAGTTTCGAATTTTGATAATGTGTTTTTATGAATTTTTCGTATTAAAATGTCTTAACAATGATTAAAATATATTTTATCATTTGTGAGGAATTGATGAAAAAATTTCATTTTGAAATTAATTTTTCTATAAAAATGTATTTTTTTTGCTTAGTTCACTGATTAAATCTTTTAGCTTTGTCACCTAATCTTGTCTTCTGGAAAATTGTGAAATTTGGGGATGAATCTGTTGGGGTTTTTACTTTAAATTAGAAACTATAAAAAGTCTGATCGATTGTTAGAGAAAGAGTTTTTTTTAGAGGCGCTTCGTGGAGCTTCACAGAGAACGAATCTCTCCCGGTCATATCTCCTTACATTCTACTGTTGAAAGTATACGAGGTGTGTTCAAAAAGTATCGCGACTTTTGTGTTTTTTCAAAAATTATTTATTTATTCATGAATACCTATTTTGTCCCCTTCAAAGTAATTCCCATGAGATATCATACACTTGTGCCAACGGTTTTTCCAGTCTTCGAAGCACTTCAAAAAATCATTTTTAAAAATCTTTTTCAGCTCCTCCTTCGATGCCGTCTTTATCTCGTCAAGCGTAGCGTAACGTCGTCCTTTCATGGGCCTCTTCAGTTTAGGGAACAAGAAAAAGTCACAGGGGGCCAGTTCTGGAGAATACGGTGGCTGCGGCATCATTAGTGTGTTGTGTTTGGCCAAAAAGTCGCGCTCAAGCAACGATGTGTGAGCAGGGGCGTTATCGTGGTGCAAAAGTCAATTTTTGTTCTTCCACAAATCCGGGCGTTTCTGGCGTATTGCTTCGCGCAAATTGCGCATAACTTGCAGGTAATATTCCTTATTGACCGTTCTACCCTGTGGCAAGAACTCATGATGCACCACGCCCCTGCAATCGAAGAAAACTGTCAGCAAAACTTTCACATTCGACCGAACTTGGCGCGCTTTTTTCGGTATTGGTTCGTGCGGCAGCTTCCATTGAGATGATTGAGCTTTGGTTTCCACGTCATAACCATAAACCCACGCTTCGTCACCAGTTATGACCCTCTGGAGCAAATTTGGGTCGTCGCGGACAGAGTCCAACATCTCATTAGCAATGTTCATGCGATGCTGTTTTTGGTCGCAATTGGGCAGTTTTGGTACGAATTTCGCGGCGACCCGTCTCATGCCCAAATCATTGATAAAAATCGAATGGCACGAGCCAATCGATATGTTTAGGTCCTCAGCAACTTCTCTAACGGTGATTCGACGATTGGCCAATATCATTTTCTCCACTTCATTAATTTTTTGTCTGTTGTTGAAGTGCTCGGGCGTCCGGCACGCTCTTCGTCGTTCACATCTTCTCGGCCTTCTGAGAACATTTTGTACCACCGATAAACGTTGCTTCGGTCCAAGGTAGCTTCTCCGTATGCCACAGTCAACATTCGGAATGCATCCGCGCACTTAATTTCGTTTTTCACACAAATTTGATACAGGTTCTTTGATCCATTTTTTTAATAGGTAAAAATCGAAGACGATCCAAAACACCTGCAAGCAAAGCAGCTGTCAACAATTAAGTGAACATTCAAAATGGCCGAGCTTGTCGGCATAAGTGAGAGACATGAGTACCAACATAATGCCACAAAAAGATCGAAATTCGAATATACGTAACCCGCGAAAATTCAAAAGTCGCGATACCTTTTGAACACACCGCGTATATATGTATAGATGGAAATTTTGCCGAGAGGATATTGATCTAAAGCGACAAAGGTCGACTCTCCCGTCAAAATATACGTCAAAACTAGACGCCATCTATTGACCGTCACCGCATCAGTTTGCCAAAGCTGGTGTTGTGGCTTTTCACCGACCCTAGGCCGCTAGTTTGCGGTCACGGTCAATAGATGGAGTCTAGTTTTGACGTCTATTTTGACGGGAGAGGCGACCTTTGTCTCTTTACAAATATATATATATTACATAGCTTTTTTATTTATATATAAGAAATTTATTTATAAATTTCAACTATTCTTAACGCGTATGATTTTTTAAAATTAAAACAATTAATGCTGCCCTTACTGCAATGATAAAATAATGGGAGAGGTTGGTTCATCAGTGATGAACCCTCCCAGCGATTTTGTCAGTTTAAAGTAAGGGCAGTAGGAAATTGTTTTAAAGCAAAAAGAATCATACGCATCAAAAATAGCCCATATTTCTAATAACAGATGGCACCCTAATACATCATGTCAATATTTTATATAGCTGTGGTGGCGTTGGAGTTAAACTCTCTGAGTAAGGAGAAATAACGACTATTCCTATCCTTAGGGATGAAATATGGAATGATGAATTGTGAAGAGTAATGATAAACGGAAAAATAAAAGTGTCCAAGGATGGGAATCGAACCCACAGTGTTTACCGGGCAGATGTCATGTCCACTAGGCTAACCTGGACGTAAACCCTCTGTGTAGGAATCAGATATTATACACCCAAGATAGAGGACATTGCGACTGCTGTGATAGAGATGCACGGGGACATCTGAGGCTCTTCATGGGATACGACAACAACAGAAAATTAACATGGACCAGAACAGCAGCTTTACACACCCAAGATAGAGGACATTGCGACTGCTGTGATAGAGATGTATGGAGACATCGGAGGTTCTTCATGGGACACGAAAACAACAGAAAATTAACATGGACCCAGAATAGCAGCTTTACACACCCAAGATAGTGGACATTGTGACTGCTGTGATAGAGATGCACGACGACATCTGAGGCTCTTCATGTGACACGACAAAAACAACAACAACATTAGAAAGTGTTGAAAGACGAAATATTATAAAATATATAAAATAAATTTGGGTGAGTTTGATAGGTTCGAATATGTCTAGAGAAAAAGAGGTATCTTGGCCCATTGAACCTCTGTTTTTATTTAGGAAGATAATGGAGCCATTTATCAAAGGTTTGATTAATGTTCGGCAACACGGAGAGTTCTCAATCAGACGGCCTATGTGCTCATCACCAGCAGGTGACGTCTGCTGTCTTCACAGCTATGTACCTGCGTGGAGAACCTATGTTATACAGGTGAACTGGAGATCTGGAGTACGTTTATAACTGTCTATTCTTTTCACGGTTATGTACCTGCCTGGAGATGTTATACAGGTGATCCTGGGATCTGAAGTACGTTTATATCTCTGTGTTCCATTTTGTTCACGGCTATGTACCTGTCTGGAGATGTTATACAGGTGAACTGGGGATCTGGGGTACGTTTATATCTCTGTGTTCCATTTTGTTCACGGCTATGTACCAACCTTAGCGTACGTTTATAACTTTCCATTCTGTTCTCACGGCTATGTACCTGTCTGGAGAACTTACGCTACATAGGTGAACTGGGGTATTTGTGGTAGTTTATAACTGCCCATTCTGTTCACGTCAATGGGCCATTGTACCGATTTGACGCGTTCTATTCTTCAAACACTCAGTTCACACAGCTGTGAAGAATAACAAGCTTATCTCCATCTATAATATAGTCGGGGATATGTCAGAATATCGTTATACCAGGTACAAGGTTGGAAGGTTCATCCACTTCGATTTCCTTTTATCTTTGTGTTGTATACCTTCCACAAGCGGGTTTCCATAATCTAAAACCAAATTAGGGGGGTCGTTGGAAGGCTGGTTAAACCGTTTGGTTTTCAACCACTACGACCCGGGTTCAATTCCCGCATTGGACATTTTTTTCTGTTAAAAAAACAAATGTTTCATTAGGCCCCGATTCTTGCAAAAGTCCAACCCCACCAGCGAGTGCAAGTAACCAAACTGGGCTCTGCCACATTTGTAAGTGCAAAGTCGAACTGCTTTTCACATGTGTAGACATGTGGTGCGCTTACAGTAAAAGCAGTTGCTAACTACCCACCATGATTATCATGGCCTGTACCACGTGTACTAGGGATAAGCAAAAAATAATAATAATAAAAGTAAATAATGGAGAAATTACATTTTAAAGTCATGCGTGCGCTTATATTTTTTTCACTACCATTTTAAAATAAAGATTAAGGTTGCATTCTATTCTTGCACATTAAAATGTATTAACTCTGTTTATATAGTACATATTGTAAGATTATAAACTCAAAAGGAGCTTCTTCTATAGAACATGTTTATTTCGCTAGGTTTCGAACAACATCGTTCTTTAACGGGCGTAAAGACAAGGTGTGATGTGTGCAATTATATAGACGTACATTGAGAGCCAGATATATACACATTTGTAGCTTGACATGATGGCAGTTAGAATTGGAAATTGAGAAATAAACCAGTTATGTAAATCCTTGTATTAGAGTATGGTAAACAAGGTAACAAGGATTTACATAACTGGTTTAATTCTCAATTTGTAATTCTAACTGCCATCATGTACATTACAAATTTGTATATATCTTGGCTCTCAATGTACGTCTATATAATTGCACACATCACACCTTGTCTTTACGCCCGTTGAATGTCGTTCAAAAGCTAGCGGAATAAACATGTTCTATAGAAGAAGCTGAGTTTATAATCTTACAACATAGTTATGGTAATGTTGATGTCTACATAATACACACACACACACACACACACACACAAAAGCCTTTATTAAGACACACTGGTCTTATAGAGGATTCTCCCCGAGATTACAAGAGAGATAGTCCTGTGAAAGTGGGGAATATACAGAAGAAGAAAAAGAAAGATATGTAAGTATGATATATTGTTGCACTGGGCTGCGGTTTGGCAGATTCTTCAGTCTTGAGTCTCTCCTCAGACGTGTCTTGCATCTTTCCAGAACGTGTCTCAACCATCTTACAAGGTTAAACCAGTCAATAATAAGACAACTATAAATTTAGGTAGCACCTAGAATCTCTCTTTATTTACCACATCAAAGTTTAAAGCATGTAGGGTATTTAGTGTATCAAAATACAAATGTTTTATAGTACATAATATTTTATATTAATAATCTGTTTTATAAAAATAAATAAATTTATAATTTAAATTTTAAATATATTAAAAATAATATTATAAATAATTTTAAAAATAGGCGCATTAATCATGATGCAACACTTCCCCCTCTCCAGAGGTCGTCACGTCCTCGTGAGTGACCTCATCAATTCTTTCAAAATAGGGTTTGAGTCTTGAGACATGGACAATCAATGGGTCTTGGCCAGGATTATCTTTCGGCTCAATTAAGTAATTTACGTTGGACAGCTTCTTTAATATTCGATATGGCCCAAAATATTTTCTCAATAGTTTTTCACATTTTCCGATTTTCCTGACTGGTGTCCAAACTGCCACTAAATGTCCTGGTTCATAGATTCTCTCGTTGTGTTTTTTGTCATAGTTTCTTTTCATTCTTTCCTGAGTCTTCTCTGTGTTGTTAATGACTACCTGTCTCGTCCTTGCTATTTTATCTAAGTAGTTTTCTATATATTCGTCGTAATCGTCCATGTTACTGTCCGTTGGGATATTCTCGTCGTCTAAGAGGGACATGGGTTCCCTCCCAAACAACAGGAAAAATGGAGAGTAGCCTGTGGTTTCTTGAATTGTGGTATTATATGCGTGGGTGATAAAAGGTAGGATTTCGTCCCAGTTCTTCTGATCCGTATTCACATACATGCTGATCATATTGATTAAAGTTCTATTTAGCCGTTCCGTTAGTCCGTTAGTCTGGGGGTGGTAGCTCGTTGTGAAGCAATGTTTAACTTTGCACATTTTCATAACCTCCTTCATCAAATTGCTAGTGAATTGTGAACCTCTGTCGCTGATAAGAAATCTTGGAGCCCCGTGACGTAAAAATATATGTTCGATTAAAAATGTAGAGACTTCTTTCACTGTCGCTTCTGGTACTGCCTTTGTTTCAGCATACTTGGTATAATAATCCGTCAACACAATGATCCATTTCCTTCTTCTTTTCGTTGATGGCAAGGGGCCAACAAAGTCAATTTCGATTCTTTCAAAAGGGTAGTTAGCTGGGGGAATAGGTTGTAGAAGTCCAGATGGCAACTGATTTGAACCTTTCCGACTTTGGCAAAGATGGCACGTCTTTACAAATTCGGAAACATCTTTCAGCATGGAAGGCCAATAGTATTTATTCTTCAATCGGTATGTGGTTCTGGCGACGCCCAGATGGCCATTCAGCATATGGTTGTGGTATTCACTCATGATTTCTTTCCTTCTCTTCTTTGGCACTACCAGCAACCATTCTCTGCCTTCAGGATTTGGATTTTTCTTGTAGAGACACCCATTTTCTTCTTTAAAGTTCTGTGTAATTGAACGCTTGTTTCCACTAAGGTACTCCTTAATATTCTCAATAAAATCATCCTTTTCGTCTATTATTTGATTCAAAAATAGTCTTTCATAATCCTCGTCCCATTCGTTTTCTGGTAAGGGTCCTCTAGATAGACCATCAGCGTCCAGATGTTTTTTTCCCGATTTGTGTATAATTTCGAAATTATATTCCTGAATCTTCAGTGCCCATCGTGCTAATCGACCGGTCGGATCTTTTAAATTCTTAAGCCAGCATAGTGCGTGATGATCAGTTACGATTTTAAAGTGCCTTCCATATAAATAGGGCCGTAATTTTGATATCGACCACACTACAGCTAAACATTCCTTTTCGGTGGTTGAATAATTTTGCTCAGGTTTACTTAGGGTTCGGCTCAAATATGATATTACCTTCTCTTCGCCACCGATATTTTGAATTAGTGTTGCGCCTAAGCCAATGTTAGAGGCATCTGTGTGAATGCAGGTGGCTGCATTTGGATCAAAGTGACCTAAAATTGGCGGATTCATAAGAGCTTTTTTAAGGTTTTGGAACGCTTCTTCCTGTTTTCCTGTCCAGATAAATTGCACATTTTTTCTGATGAGACTGGTCAATGGGTCAGCGATTAATGAGAAATCTTTAATAAATTTTCTATAATATGAGCACATTCCTAGGAATGATTGCACTTCTTTGGCCTTCTTGGGCTGAGGAAAATCTCTAACGGCTTTGATATTATATTCGGCAGGTTTTATACCCTCTTGGTTGGTTATATGTCCAAGGATCTCAAGTTCCTCGAAAGCAAATCTGCATTTCTTGGCGTTCAGTTTTAAATTAGATTCGCTGAAGCATCTGAGGACAGCTTCAAGTCTTTTAATGTGGGTTGGAAAGTCCGAGCTGTATATAATTACATCGTCCAGGTAGCAAAGGCAAATCTGCCATCTCAGATTTCCGAGGACATTGTCCATGTTCCTCTCAAAAGTAGCAGGGGCGTTGCATAGACCAAAGGGCATTACGTTGAATTCATATAACCCATGTGCAGTAGTGAAAGCCGTCTTCTCTTTGTCTCTCTCTTCAATTTCGACTTGCCAATATCCCGATTTGAGATCTATTGCTGAGAAGTACTTGGATCCTTGGAGAGTATCCATTACATCATCAATTCTTGGGATTGG